CCAGCGATTGCAGAAAAGCGCACAGAAACGGGAGGAGTGTCTGTTGAAGAAATGCTGTAAAATGGAATTGCATTACACACACTTTAGGTGCCATTTGTATCTCGAAAGGGGAGCATGAGGAAAATGGATGGAAAATGATGCGCCAACAAATTGGATGCGTAATGGTTAAGCGAGAGCTGAGCCATAATTGAGATATTTATAGTTATGGCCAAAGTAGAGTCGGAGGAACATTAAGCTAGAAATTCACTCTCTACGCAATGGGGGAAAGTTGATCCGCTCGCTGTGTGTCCCCAAAGGCATAAAAAAAGTAAGCTTCAAATTGCTAACTGGATCTAGTATTAATGTTTAAAGCCCCAATAGCCCATGGCTACCTGAGGCCTTCAACATAGTTGGTAAACTATTAATTATGAAAATGAATTACAAGCTTCGGAAATTTCCAATAAAGTTACCTCGGATTTATCTCTGGGCAGTTGAGCCAGAAAAACCTTCAGCGCATTCCCCACTGGCTTTGCCCTAGTTTCGCAGGCTTTATTAAATTAAATTCCTGTTAAATTCTATTCGGTTCTCACGCCACTCACCCCTTTAAGGTTTTCATGCCCCATAATGCTGGTATTTATTATACTTTTTTTCTACAGCAATCTCCTCTTTTTATTGCCTCTAATCCGTTAAATGCTTTATAATTGCATTTGCAACCTCATAGCAGGGATACTTGAAAATTCCGGGAAAAGTGGGAGGAGGAGAGGGTTTTAAGGATGCCTGCAAAGGGGGCGGAATAAGGGTCAGAGGGAGGCGTGTGCAACCCTTGGCTAATTGCTGGGGTGTGAAATGTGTGTGAGTTTAATTTTAAGTACTCGGAAAACTGTCCACCCCTGTGAGAAGGGGACCCCTTCAATTGAACCCTCTGCGGGATATAAAATTGATAAAGAACGGGAGAAGCGATTGCCCAAAGCAAACCGCTTTTTATCGCATTAGATAAACATTAGCTGAAAAAATCCGCAAATACAAAAGTTTAATGGAAAGTAAACCACTTAATGAGATAGTAATTCAAACAGATTGGAATATTTGAATTTAAATACAATGTTATATGAATATAATATATAATATATAATTTTACATTTTGTTGAAAAATATTTGTGCAAGGCTTAAAGGTAGGGGTAACTATATATTTTTATAATTTTATTTTAAAATATATTGATTAATCAATTGTAAATAATTTAATATTTTTAAACCACTTTATTTGTAGTGCTTTTTCATTTCTTTAGTGACTTTAAGCTCGAGTTCATTCAACCACAAGCCAAGCTTAAGCCCCCAAAAAGCTCGTTCACCTGCCTACCAAGCTTTTAAGCCCTCGAGCCACTCAATCTTTGCGGCAGCGACGTCTCAAGATGCCACTCAAAGCAGTGCTCTCATATGGGCCCAATGCTAAAACACACAGTCTCGGCCAACATTAGCTCGGCCCATATGTGTGTGTGTATCTTAGGGCCATGTGCTGAGGCATTCATGCACATGCAGTTTTAAATTAAAAACAAATTGTGAACACGAGACCAAATAGAGGCGAGAGACACATCATGACCCTAATGACTGTGGGAACTTTTTGCGAACGTCACTGACATTGCCAGCTGAGTGCCCGTTGTGTGTGTGTGTGCGTTCATGGCTCTTAAGTTTGCTTTAAGAGAGGCTTGAGCTCAAGCATTGCCAACTTGAAGAAACTATTTGAATTATTTAACGGCCATTTTGGGATAGTTCAGCTTTAACTTAAATTTGATTATTTTTACTTAGTGGTAATTAAGGAATTGAACAAAATCTGCAACATTATCTAATAGCTAAATAAGTTATTTTATTATATTTTCTTAAAATTTAAACTAATCGATTTATTTAAATATTTTGTATTTCAGCTGTGAAAATCACATCATCCATTCAACAATTAAAAGGTGAGTTTAAACCAGTTTTATAAAATTTAAATAGAGAAAAAAGAAAAGAGAAAAGAGAGAGAAACAAGTGCTACCCTAAAGATACTAAAGATACTACTGCTATATTTTGTAGCATACTTTTGTACACCATTTTAATACATTTTAAAATCCCACAGCTTTGATTACTTCACATTTTCAATTTGATTGCCTAACAATTGATTTGTTAATCTTCTTGTCTCCGAATGGGAAATGGAAATCCCAAAACAATTTACCCAACAATTTGTAATGGTAATTGGCTTCTTAATCGCAATTATAGACCCCCGATTGGTTTCAATTCGAGTGAATTGGATTGTTTAGGATTGGATTACTCATGCTAAACCATTAGTGTGTATTTGAGTGTATTTGTTGTGGCCTTTTGTGAACCTTTCATTGCAGCATTTTGCGCATTTTGATTGAAATTTTGATTAGGTTGCACATGTGGCACATTGTCTGTGCCCCCAGTCAGACCTCGTCAGACCCCTCTTGACTCCCTGACGGACATTGATTTCTCAGCTTGTGGCCATTTCTACATTTCTCCACTTCCCTTTTACCTTTCATTGTCTGGGCCTTATCTTTTGTCTGTTCATTCCAGCGGTGTTTTAGTCATTTGTTACCTGTGGGTGGTGGAGGGTCTATTGTGAGTGGGCGTGTCTGGGATCGGGGGTCCTCCATTTCCTGTGCTATACCTGTCTTCATTGTGGTTTATCTGAAATTGTCGAGCATTTGCGGTTACAGCTTTAACACATTTAACTTAACACGCGAAGAGAAAATGTCAGCCATAATCAGGAGGGCTATTGTAGAGGTTTTGCATTTGAATTAAACGTAACGTTTAGAATGAAATTTTCTATGAATTTGGATACTTTTGCATACTTTTGGACAGTTTTGCAGTTTCAATTGCTTTCTAATACCATTCGGAGTCGAAGTTCTGATATTAAATAATCATTTTTCTGAAGAAAGGTGGTAAATTTAAAGTTTTAGTTGAGATACAAATTAGTTGAGATAACCAAGCAGAAGAAATATGTGTCTGTTTTTTGTTCTCAGTGCAGCTGTGCTTTTTGCAGCGATTGCACCAATTTGTTTTTTTTCTGCTTCTAAGCGGCGATAATGTTGGCGTGATTGGGAGCCATGTGTGGGCAGCAATGGTTTGCTCCAAATAGACTTGGTACCATTTTTTTTACTGCCTCATTTTATGTGTTACCTGGGCTTAATCCAGGTAAAGCCGCTGCTGTATTGCAATTTTTCGCACGTTCCACAGCAAGAGAGAATACACACTCTTAGGTTCTCTTCAATCTTTTTCCTCACGCACACACGTGCAAATGTATCTAGCTTGACTTTATCTAATTCTCTCTTAGGTGGAGACTTTCTCTTAGGGAGCAAACAACGACCTTGCCTCTCGCTCTTCCGATGGCTCAGTCCCGCTCTCGCTCAGCGATCGATCATTTGCCATTGTTGTCACGGAATTTAGGTTGGGCAAACTAATTCAAATCGATAAGTTCGATACGTTGATTAACGATCCCTGATTACCGGTTCGGTTAATCAGTTTTTAGTTCTTTCATTTGTTTTTTTATTCTTTGTCCGGTGACATTTCATAACCACTTGGTGCTGATCGTATTCGCTTCAAGTTGACTTTGGTTCTGGGGTAACTCTCTTCAACAACTCTCTTCAGTCGCATAATCACTTCACCAGATACTCGCTCTCCACTCTCCACAACAAAATAAAAAAAATACTGGCAGCTGCAGAATCCACGAATCCAACTGGTTTTAGATACCCTACAGTTATCTGAATAGGTAGTGTGATTTACGGAATTATTTGCGCAGTTTGGTACGCCAAAATCATAGTCTATCCTTTGGTGCTAGAACAAGCAACAATAATGTCCATTCTTATTTTTAATTTTTTCTGCATACGTCTAATAATTATACTGAAGATTAAAAGATACATTGGTAAATTGTAAAATCCGTAAAAATTATTAAAACATAAAACACCTTTAATTTAACCTTCCCAGAAATATTTTTGCATCTGATTTTCACATCTCATCGAAGAATGTATCTTCCATGTTGTATCTTTTCTGCCTTAAGCTTCTTTACAATTATTTTAATACCTTCGGTCCACTAATTATTTTTGGAAACACCTTAAATATTTGTTTGCCTTTTCGGGGAATTTTCCAGCACGTGTTTTCAAAGAATTATCACCGTCTAAGCCGAACCGCAAATCCGTAAAGCCACGCTTATCTCAGCAAAATCGCTATCTTCGATTTCAGCAGCGCATCTGCGATTCTACCTGAACCTAGATACAATATCTCTCTCTTGGCTTTTGCTGTCTCACTTGCACTTCACGACATCTATAAGCTGCAACGACGCGTCGCAGTTTTATCATTGCCGTCACCATCGGCAACAACAAATGCCCGTACCTCAGAGCGGGAGGTGAGCTGTTGTTGTTGGTAGTAAACAAACACAAAGGAAATGAGCGAAGCCACTGGCGTACAATCACACTGATAAAAACTAAGAGTTTGTGGAAATTAAAATCTTGTTGCAAGAAACCTGTACGAATTTGAAATGTCCTCTAGACTCTAGATAAAGTCGGCTTCGAATCAGACCACTTGCTTACAATGTTATTGGTACTTTTGGTACCGTACTCTACATATGAACTAGAACTAGTTAAGAATTCTAAGCTTCGATGTGAGAGAAAAAGCAAACCTCGAAAATCGGCAATAGGAGTTTTTGAACCACTTGATATGCTGAATCAAAATCAGCATATGGGTAAAAAAACATATTTAACAAATTTTAATTTTTACAATTTTTTTTACTTAAAAAAATGGCAGCTATTATACAAATAAAAACTGTTGATTACGTATCTTTGTACCTAAAAATGATATAGGGCTTATGTAGATAGAGATCTTTTAAAACTTATTTATTAAACATTACCATATAACACTCCCATAAAATGTATAATGTACTATTTTCTCTCGGTGCACACACGCACACACTCTGCAACAGCTGTCGCTCTCTTCCGCTCTGCTCCGAACAGTCGGCGCTGAGCGAGTGAGCCACGCTCGCCAGTACAGTAGAGCAATTCAAACCGCCGAATCGAGCAAACCGCTTACCGCTTGCCGCTTACCGGATAACCGCGTTCCGTTTCCCTCCGCTTCCATTCGATTTTGACCGTCGTCGTCGTCGGTTTAGCCAGATGTCCACGTGAAAAAGTGTGATATATCCGAAAATCGGGGGGGTCAATAGCAGCCGGTAGCTTAGTGGGCCGAACCCAGCCATCCATACATCCATCCATTTACCATTTTTACCACTCGGTGGGTCTCTTTTGGGGGATCGTTTTGCATTTTTATCGCGGTGTCGTGTTTTTCGGTGTGCGATTTTCCCCACATTCCCCCCGTGTGTGTGCTGTGTGCTGTGCGAGGTGTTCTTGGAACAGAGAAATACTAACGATACGCTGGCAGAAATCCACGGTTGGAATATTCGCTTCGAGTTATACATATAAGGCTTGAACCGGATTTATTTATTAATTATACATACGATTGTTTGATGACCAAAACAAAAATTGGCGGACAACAAAACCTGAGCTTGGATTTACCGAAACCGAAAACCACACACACTCAGACCGATTTCGATATATAAATGGTAAATTTTTTCGAATCACAACAAACCCAGAAAACCAGTAACAGCAACCGAAGTTGAGCTTCAATCCATGAGCTTTGAAGCTCAAGCCAGGCTTAAAACGAGTTTTTAACGTTGGCAAAATCGAATTTGCATACAATTCTTGCATGTCTTCGGTGTTGTTGTTGCTGCTTTGACATTTGTGTGTGAAAAAGATACAAAGTATTTGGAATTTTTGTTAAACTTTCAGTTTTTTAACGTTTTCAATATGCATGAGTCAAAACGCAGGCTTAGTTTATTACAGATAACTTCGAACAGCTGTCCAAACTGACACAGATAACTTGTACACTATCAATACAGCGATAGGGTTCCATTGTTGCCTTTCTCTAAAACATTTAAAATAATCAGAGGGTAACGCCATAATCATTATATAGATATCTGCCAGCAATTTGGGGGAAATTACTCAGCTAAAAAGTGAATAAATCTTTGCATTTTGCACTTGAACATGGCAATTTGGGAGGGCAAACAAAGGAAATAAATAAAAACAATTTACAATTAGCTAGCTGCTTTTAGCCTCATCACACAAACGTACAGGAATATACTATATCTATATAGTAGTTCCGATTCGTCTCCAGTCTCTCACGTCTCTGGGTCGATGTGATTCATCATTTCGCATGACTAAAACTGAATAAACAATTGATACACTGGAGGTTGTCAAATTAACGAGCAAGCGAAATCGAAATCTATTGGAGGATATTGGGGAATATTTACAATTTAAAATAGGGCGAGTTTTTTAAGTCATTTTGCCTACCGCAAGCTGTTTTCCCAGCTCTTTTGTGAAGCTAATTTATTTTAATGCATTCTGTGTGCCAAATTATTTGACTGTCAACTGCATAAATTACCACGATAGCAGCAAACAAAGTAGAAAATAAAAAAGAAAAGTGGAAGGAAGACAAAATGGAAAATGGTAAAATTTTCCCAATGAATTGGCTTCTGCCGGGTGAGAACGAAACCAACGCAGAGTGGGTGAAAATATATTATGATTACAATGTAATTAAATGCCAACTTGGCCCCGGCGAAAGCCAGAGGAGAGTTTTTATCCCTCAGCCGCCACACTATGAATGCATAATTATGCTGTTCGAGTTGATTTACTTGTTGTAGTTGATATTTATTATATATATATACATATTCTTGGAGATCTTTAAGGGCTCCCCTCCCAGATTTATGCTGCATTTTTGCTACCTCAGCCCAGGCAGATTATAAATCTCAGCGGCATAGCAGCAGCAGTTCATAAAAACTTCATCCAGAAAGCTCCGCGAACAAAAACCATTCAGAAACATTCCGAGAAAAGCCAACAAAATGGACAAAAACTGGTAACAAGCCAGGGCAAAAAGTAAGAACATAATGCTGCCTGGGTGCAGTTGGTCTTGGACTTAAGTCGAGCCAACTGGAGGATGGAACCGGTTTGCTGGCGACTGCCAGCCAGGCAGCCAGCCAGCCAGCGAACTCCAACTTTTCTCACATGCCTTTCGATTATGCCAAGCCGACTGCATTCTTCGTGCCGCCACTCCGGTCCCGGCATTCGCTAAACTGTTGGCTTAGACCAAGCTCCAAGCTGCGCCAGCTCCCAGCTCCATCTTCTCCACAAGTTCAACAAACAGGCACGGAGCGAGAGAGACCTCAACTTCAACTTCAACTTGATCGTCGCTGCTGCTGCATAAAACTTTAATTTCATGGAATTTCCTTTCTATTTTTATGCAGCCACGCAGATGATTAACAACTGCAGCCAAGTCAAGAACACGGGAACAAGTCCAAGACCAAGACCAAGTCATGGTTGCAACTTCTGGGCCATTAACTTGGCTCTGGACTCGGGACTGGAGACGCGAGACTGAAGAGTGAAGTCTCTAGCCTCTAGACTCGGGACAAAGGCGGACATCTATCTTCCATTCTGCGTCTTAGGCAGGAAATTAAAAATGCAGAAAATCGTATAATTATGCATGTAAACGTTTTGTCATTAAGCTGATACTTAAATGCGGCTGTGATTACCAGGCGTATTTAATTTTTTTTTTTTGCGAATTTTGTAATTAATGCAGTTGGAAAGATAGGAAAACCTATTTTTTCCAATTAATGATATGTTACAATTAAGGACTTCAAAGAGAACCTGGCAAAGTGTTTGCCTCTTTAAGCATTCCTGACATTTTCTTGGCCTGCCATTAGCTAACTAGCCGTGAACTTGCTCAGCCAACATTTTATATTAATGCCAAAAACTTTTCTCGCCACTCGAGTGAGTGCCGTCTCGCTGAATCGACACGCCAAGTTGTTTGGTAATAGCTTGGCCTTGACTCTGGCCCAAAACCACAGAGCCCTAAGAATGTCAAAGGGCATGACAGAGTATAATTATGGAACCTCTTACTCCTTGGCTTCTAGTTTTTAGCAGAGCTGAACAAGTTTAATTTCCGGTCTGTCGGTTATTTGTACTTTGGGAAGCTAAAGTCAATACAGAAGGGATTTAACATAAACGGGAGATAAGTTGTCAGCGGCAGAAGCAGGAAAGAAATAACTTAATAAACGTTAACATGACTTGTAGTCAATAATATTCAGAAATATCTATTAAATATTAATATACTTAACTTACTTTGTAACCTAATTGACTGACGACTTCCTATTTAACCTTTGAACTTTCATTAACCTATAATAAGTAGCCCCTTATTCATATCTGGAAATGTAATTACTTTAGCTTTGATATCATTATTTGGAAGGGCTACAATTTCGCTGTCGTCATAAAACGACCATCGTTAGCTACATTGTTTATTTACCACCTGTGTACCCCAACTCGTCTTTGATGTCCCCAAAATACAGTTGGCACACCTGTTCACTTAATAGGGAAATGGGGAGGAATATGCCCATTTTCCACCTGACACTAGAATGGCTTCTTTTTGGCGAATATATGGGTTGTTTGTTCAGTTGCCTATCGATTATTTTCCGTGGATGTGTTTGCTCTGCCTACTTTTGGGCGCTGGCACCCGGAAATTGACAACGGCTGTTCGTTCGAACGTCTATTTGCTCCGAATCAACGGCAAAAGCGTTGACAAATGGCACAGAGAAAACCAACTATGTTACACTTTTGTGCGCCACCAAATTGACTACTAACAATGACAATCAGAGCAGAGAATGCCACTGGAAAATGGTGAGAGACAGAGATGACGGTTTGGAAAATCAGTCAGGCTTGGTTGGTTCTCCATTGCCTCGGCCCCACGACCTTTGCTGCTATAAATCGGTTGGATAATCATCCAAACTAAGCGGTTATCTAAACATAGTTACTTCTGGTGATGTCACGTATCTTTCCACGAAACTTTGCCAGTAAACAAATTCTCCTTCCTTATCGTCACAAAGTAACGTTGTGAGAAATCCCTTTCTCATTTTAAATCTGTCAGATAAAAGAGCTCTACAACTAGTCGTCTGTGTCTGTTTGCTCCTGTCTAGGGGGAAAAAAATATTACATATTGTGTACGTTGATTACACGGGCTTTTTTTTCCTCTGAAGATCACAGCAAAGAGTGCCTTTTTGTATCTCAGTTTGTAACCTGATATTTGTATACCAGCTGAGGTATTTCCTTCTCTTTTTGGCTATGAAAAATTCATTAGCATTGAAAATAAATTCAAAGAAACTTCGAAGTTGAAGTGGCGCAAGGCATGAGCTTTCAACGCATTACAAATTCTTGTGCATATAAAAACAGTTCTAGGAAAACCCCACTGATTTTCCCCTCAGATTTCTTTGAGTTATGAATTTGTAATGACACAAATGTGCTTTGGATGAATGATTAGTTGTGGTTAAAAATTTCTTTCTTTTGTTTATTGTTTATGCTTTATTCAATTGCACATTGCTAATGGAATTAACATGCTCCTCGCCTTAAAAAATAATAATAAAACAAAGAAAACTTGTTGTGAAGAAACAGGTTCTCCTGGCTCAAAAATTTCATATAACTTTGGTTATGTGTGCCACGGCGAGTTGAGTCATCGTAAAACTCATTTCCATAATGATTGTAAACAATATCCATAAGCAAATACTGCCAAAGTATTTATCTTACGGATGCGAGAGTGGCTGAGATCGACGGATTTTGGGTCGCATCTGCTCATCACATAACAAGGATCAAGACACGAACCAAAAAGGTTTCGACTACCTGGAAATCGTGGCAAATCGAAGTCACTATGTCGAGAACAGAAGGCGGCACTTAACAAGGCAGGACCTGAGAGGAAGACAGAGAATCCTTCGAGAATCCTTAGCCACGTGCAGCGAACATATGCCAGGATCCAGGCAGCAAAACAACAACTGCCGGAGCAGCGGCTGCATTCGTTCCGAACGACAGATGCAAACAATTTCGAAATATTTCGAACTGCGACCCGCTGTAAATGCTTCCTCCGTGTTTGCCAGGACAGAACACACTTCTTATAAGGTACACATATTTATGTACATATGGAAAAAGGTATACATGGTATATAGAGGCAAACAAGAACCACGCTCGTATGTATGGCTTTCAGGCGTGCCTATTGTTTTTATTTTTATTTTTTGTGTGCCTGCATTTCTACTTCCGTTCGTTGGGTTTTTGAGGTTTCTCTCGAGTGTTTTCTGCTGGAAATGCTCGTATTGGAGTTCGTTTTATCAAAGGATGTGGTGTTGTTCGAGTTAGGGAGTGTGTATAAGGGATATTGCATATATTGATTGGTGTGGCTTCACGTTTAAAGGGAACTGTGCATTTTCTCAAAGGGTTTTTAGTGAAATTGTATAGAATATATAGAAATTAAGGGGTATAATTTTATATTATAGGTTATGGTATACCTTTTCCCACTCATCTTAAGATAGGTTCTTCAGGATCCTTTGTCACTTTCAAAGCTCCTCAATGGATTTGTTGCATTTTTTTCTTTTCTTTTTTTGCATCTCCTCAGCATCCCCAGTCATCCCTACTTTTTTCTCACACACTCTGCTTTTTCCCACACCCCCTCCCAAGTCCGCGGATATTGTACCCT